GGTACAATTGAGTGCAACCTCAAAAGTGCTTAGAAATATGTCTGCAGTGTTTGGCTCCCCTTCTTCCCCCCCGCCTCTTTTTCGGCACTCCCAGAGGTACTAAAAAGTGACCTGTGCATGATGCAACCCATCCAGATGTCATACTGTTGATAGCCATTAAGCCGTCCACTCTGCTGTGCTAATTTCTTAAACATAAAGAAAGCGATATCTCAAGATAGTGCAAGCCAAAATGAACATAGGATTTGACCTATATCAATAGAGAAGTCAGATGCTATCTCACTTCATAAATTTGCACACCCAGACTTCCACAAATCGCTGGCTGATCAGTTCTGCATTGGCAAGTCAACTATCAAGCTGGTTGCAGGGCAGTATCATAGGGCAGTAGTGCCTAACCTCTTTGTCCTGTTGGCCAAATGAGCAGAGCCAGGCTGGTCTGTGCGCTACATTTGGTCCATGGGTTTTTGGTGCTGGCTCAGCTAGGGCCCAGTCCAGACACATGGCACAGCCAGGCTGATGATCAGAGGAAAGAAACCATTCCCCATGCCACAGAGGAAAGTACATACCTTACATTCTGTGCCAATCTAATCTAGGTGGAAGAATTCTTTTTGGCCATAAATTTGGCAACTCATTTACCAACCTCCACCTTAAATCTAGTTTCATTTTCTTTATCCCACTACCCATATCAGAAAATTGTTAGAAAAAAATTGCTCTTCTAATACTTTATGAGCTTCTCTCACTTCCCATTCTAATGGTGTTCAGAGCCAGGTTATAGCTATTTCTTCTTGGGGCAGAAGCTTTATTTTGATTCTACAGACCTTTACATTTCCTGGACCTCCACTACTGATTAACCAGCCAGCTCATCCCTGCTCCAGAAACATGTACATTTCAATTGTTTGTAAGCCATGCCCCTAGATCAGACTCACCATACCTATTTAACTAGCTGCTTCAACCCTGAGAGGGCTACCTACATTTGCCCTATGGCACTTCCAGCATGGGCCCTCAGAACCCAGGTCCTTCTGTGAGAACAGGTCCCTGATCCCAAAGCAGTCTCACCTTACCTAGATATGTTAAAATCAGGGGAGAAGGCCTTGCCATTTCTTTTTGGGACTTCTTTCTTTAAAGACCTAGCAATGGTATCCCCAGGTTTGCATCTACAGTTGATCCAAGGAGAACTACCTGGAATCCCTTCCAGCTTTAAGAATTCTCTTCTCCCCTAGTTTGCTGCAGGCTTCCAGCTAGCTCACAGAGTCCAGCTTGGTTTTAGTCCCTGCTCTAAACAGTCATTGTTCTGCTAACCCACATCTCTCATTCCAGCATATTTCCCTTGTTCTATTTCAGTTTTATAATCAGTCCCTTATGCCGCATCCAGAAGAAACCCAATAAGCTGTTTTCAAGGTGACCATCAATTTGATCACCCATTACAAAGTTCAGATTTATCCCACTCCACTGCTCTCTCTTTCTCTCTCTCTCTCTCATTCTCTTCATTACATTCAACTGAAATAGAATGAAAGCAGTGTCACACACAAATTTAAAAAGCTTACATTTACTCTTTCATTTGTTGAAAGAAGTTCCCATTTTATTATAGCACAATGCGAGACCTGTACTAAAAAAGATGTATGCCTTTCTCTGCATGGATCTTGGAGATGGGGAGACAGGGGGACTAATATTATTTCTAGTCAACAGGGGCAGATGAGATGCACCCTAGCATACTGAAGAAATTGATTGAAGTAATTTCAGACCCATTGGCCACAGGCCTGAAGAGCAAGCCATATGAGGAAAGGCTGACAGTTATGGGACTGTTCAGCCTAGAGAAAAAATGTGTGGATTTCAGACGTCCCCCACATTGCTACCTTGCATCACGGGGGGCAGGGATTGACCTCTGAAAAAAGTGGGGCAGCACATGTGGTGGCAGAGCACACCACCTGCAACCAGAGCCTGGCCAGCCTGAGCCATGCTCCAGCTGCTGGCTGGGCTTCCAGCTGCAGAAGCACCACAGCTGCAGCTTCCCCAGCCCCCAGGATCTCAGGTAAGACTGCTGGGACCAGCCTCCCTTACCCCACCTGGGGTAATCTGCTGCTTGCCAGAGGGCAGTCCCCAGGGACAAGTAGCAGCAGTACAAGGTATGTCACTGCTTCTTGCCCCTAGGGAAACAAATGTCCAAGTTCATGTGGACATGGCCCAGAGGTCTATTCTAGCTTTACTTTCCCATGATCCTAACTACTTGAGCTATCCACTCTTGTGTATGTGTGAGAGGCAGGAAACCTACTTTTCCAAATTAATCAAAAGAGATACTAAATAATAAAAATTTCCTAGCAACATGCTGATCAAATAGGTATTTTTATTCTATTAACAAAGCAGGCTACTCCATGGTTCTTTACACGTTACTTATGCCCTAAATATCCCATTTAATCCCAAGGTCATCAAAAGCAACATCTAGTTACTGTTACATAACAAAAAGAATATATTGTTTCCTTGCTTTTTTGTGTCTATTCATGTGTTCACCCATTTCATGATTTTGTAATTGGTGCTAATCACCTCTTCCTAACAAACCATTTTTTCTTCCTTCCTTTTTTTTTTTTTTTTTTTTT